TTATGTGTATGCATTATTTAAACTAGGTACATTTCAAAAATTGAATTAAGATATTTTGATATTGAATGTATAAAAATTAGGATAGTTGAGCATTGCAATTTAATAGTAATTCAGAAAACGTTAAGATATTATATARWTTTTTCCATTTTTAATAATTAATTATTATTAAATATTATGTGCATTTTTATTTTTTGGTATCTATGATAGTAATGAAATGTTGCAGATTAATAATGTATTTTTGGAATACTTTGAAAATGGTTAACCCAAGCATTTGCATGAAAATAAACTTTTAGTGCAAGAAAATTCATGTTCTTTACCAGCTAATGCTAATATAAATCTCACAATGCGACATGTGTATTACTTACATGATGAGTGGAGGAAAGACAATTTTTGCCTAGTACATTAACCTCTTCCAAAGTTGCAAGACAAAATTGTTGTTTGCAATGAAAGAGGCAAGTAAATATAGCAAAAAACAAAATTATATCAACAATATATTTTTATTGTTTAGATAAAGGGGTATATTAATTTAATTGAGTATTATATAAAGTTAACAAAATTATTGTTAATATTACAAAATTTCATACGTGTTAAGTTGTTAAATTGTTAAATTGAACAAAATAGTGATAAATCAGAAATATACTTACAATTACATACAAWACTTTTGATGCATTTTTTTTAAATTTAATAATTAACGATTATAAATTAACTTTTATGTTTAATTAAAATATAAGATGTAATAAAATAAGGAAAAGTCAAAATTAATATACATTGCAACTTATCACAAACAGAAATTGAATAGTTGGTATTTTAAATGATAGGTGCCTATAAAATATATTTGATATTAAAGAATCATATTTTAATTAGGYAATACTGTAATATAGGCAAACAAATACACAAAATTATATCAAGCAACAGTTTATTCAGGTTTTTTTCTTTCATTTAAAAATAATGTTCATTACAAAATCATTCTTATATGTTATGTTTCGATCCAGTAAATGGAAACATATAGGTACRTAATTTCATTAAGTAAGTGAAATCATACAAATATTTATGCAAGAAAAAAATAATTACAAAAAAATGTTCTTGTTTATAAATATGTATATAATATAATATAATAAACCTATACAGTTTTTTTATTTTTTATTATTGCAGTTTTGTACAATATACTTTCAATAATACAAATCTAATATTCATCATAGATAAATAAATTAACATAMTATGATTCATGGTACAACATTATTATTGATACCTAGTTGTTAAATAGCTTAATGATGTTCGAATAGTGTAATCACTTAAATTATATTAAATCAAYGATATTTACACCTAACTCATCTCTTGAGCAGCTACATACAAGGATTTAATAGTTAATATTAAATAAATGGTCTTAATTACATGTTATTTCTTATTGAACAAATTAGTAACGACAAATCTTATCTAAAGCTAAGTTAAATCAAATAAAATTATAGTCAAATGCTTTTGCAACTATGAATAGGTAATAAATTGTATGTCCATATCRATTGAAAATTATTTAAGATTTAAGAGTAGGATGCTCAAAAATTTTCCATTTYCATCTTTTCAACTCACACTGACTTAATTTATAACAATTTCAGATTGAATGTTTGTATTAAATCATAAAATTATTTAAATTTTAAAATATAAAATATTATGTATCGTTAAACAAAAGAAAACAATATTTTCATTGGAATCATTTAATWGTGATTGTTTGGTTTTTTGTCTAATAAAATRAAATAATACACTGAACATTCGATTTGTCCAACATCTCAATCATTAACTTATTTATGTGTAAGACTTTATGTAAAAATGCTCAAGTCTATTAAGCACATTTTAAAATATTGTTTAATTTTCTATTTTTTCTAAAATCACATTACAGTTTAAACTTAGATATATTATCTGATATAKGTACATGTTTTTGTCACCTTCCACATTTGTTTGTGGGAGATGAAAATTACAAATTTCAGTGTGATTTATAGGTTACGATGAATACAAAAATAATAATTTTGATTGTTATAATAATAATTATTATTATAATAGTAATCATTAATTTAATTTAAATGCATTATATTTGGTTTTTGATATCTGCTAGAATATAATAAATAATTAAGCAAGTAATAATTTTAAATTAAAATATTTTCATATATATCAGTATTAAGTTTATAGTAGGTACTTACCAAACATTTTTGAGTAAGTACCTAGTTATAAATGTATAATTGATTTATCATATCATTCATCATTATTGTTATAAATGATACTTACAGTTTTAAATGTTGAAGATAAGTGTAAGTATAAATGTGAGTATAACTGTTATAAATGAGTATATAGGTAATTCATTAAATAGCTTAAAGTATGTTTTTTTTTATAAACTAATTCTAAAATTAAATACTTAAACTTAAAATAATCTTAATAATSCTAACCTAATCAACAAGTCRATATTATATATTATTTCTATGATGATGGATAAATAATTATACATATTACAATGACAATAGATATTAATAAACCAATCCTTTTCCATAGAAACTATTTAGTTGACATTGGATTATTGTTGTAAACTGACATCAATACTAGGATCGTATAAATTTGTAATACAAGTTTGATTTTTTAGCATAATATAACAATTTAAAGATGTAAAAAAATATGTTGTGCGATGAAGACGATTGACAACATCTAAGATTATCACATGCAAAACTCTTATCAAGTTTATTTTATGGCACCCTGTAGCTTATTATTTGTGCTATTAATGTATTAAGAAGTAATTTCAAATACAACAAAAGATATTATTTAGAGTGCCAATATCACATCAATCTTACATTTAAAAAAGTTATTGTGAAATACATGAAAAAATGATATTATAATATATAAATAACATAATCTATTATAATAGTGATATWTTTTTTTTGTCTAAATGTATACCATTTTGTCRATTATACATAATATCTAATATCAAAATAATGTTGTTTTTTGAATTGTACAATGTAAAAAGTTCTTAACAAATTATTTAAAATAAACCATTAACTAAAACAACAATATTTAGGAATAAACATCATGTACCTATGTTTAATAATAATAATAATAATAAATAATAAAATACACTTTTGTCATTAATCATTAATTTTACAATTTGATGATATGGTTAAAAAAATGTTGGATATGTTTGAATATCATGATTTAAAAATGTAACAGCGAGATTAACAATAATGAATAAATAAATAGGTACCTACATGTACAATGTATACATACGTACATAAATGTGTATTATTCAATAAAAAAGAAAACTTTTAATTACGGAAGTATAAATAGTTTTTACAAATGTTAATTAATATATTTTACTTTAAACAAAATATTCTATGAAAGGGTTGAGTAGGTTTCGTATAATATAATACTATTAAATCAAGAAATTAATAAAATATATTTGGTCGACCGAGATAATCTAAAAATAAGCTTTTATACATACCGTATTGACTAGTATAAATTATAATTTTCAAAATAAATACCTATCCGAATTCAGTTTAAGCAATATTTAAATATAAAGTAGGTATATAGGTACATAAGTAGGTGAGCCGACTATCATAACTGGATATCTGTTCTATGTTCTAGACCAGCGGTTCCCAACCTAAGGGCACCACGAGCTCATTTAAGGAGCACCACAGCTCATCCGAGAATGAAAAAAATTATTAAATTATATATTAAAAATTAATTTTAGTTGAAAAGACAAAAAATTGTATTACGTACAAAATTACTTAGCATACTAACTATACATCTAATATTAAATATAGTGTTTCTAATATGTGTTGAATAATTCAAGAATAGATAATAACAGATAAAAATATTGCCGAATTTTTCAAAAATTAACAGTCTCAAATATCTCATTAATTATTAGTTTTTCACTGTTAAAGCAGAATTTTTTCTTTTTACTTTCAACTATAAAATTATAATTTGATAATAACATGTTCAATAAAATTATTTAAATCAGCTATGAATGAAAACAAGTGTTTATTTTTATCACGTTCCTCGTAATATTCACAGCAGGGCAACTAACAAAATGTGTACAAACAAAARAGYACCGCCGGCTAAAAAGGTTGGGAACCGCTGTTATAGACACCTACTTAAATATTTTTAACCATCACTCATTCAACGACTCAAATTTTTAAAGTCAATACATTTGTTACATGTATTTTCCATAAGTACTTAAGGTAAGTACCTACAATTGCGTATAGGAAAATTGATTGATAAATATTTTCTACAATAATGTAAATCATTACATGTTAAAAYTTATTTCGAATAATTGATATTGATAGATTAAAAATATTTTGATTAACTTCCAAACTAATAATTATGGCCAACAATCAGGAATCGTGTAGGTAATATAATTTATACATATAGTATATAACACAGAGGTATTTGGCAAATTGTATAAATCATTTATATAACATTATACACTAAGTCCAAACGTCCACTATTAATTATGACCTGAATACTAAGCCATTACAAGTATACATTACTTCAGTCAGTTAAGTAGGTGCCTTTTTACTGAACATGATACACTGCACCSCCAGTGAAATAATGCAAGCAGTTTTTGTATTCTATCAATAGTCCAGAAGTCAACAAACGCGATTATTGTTTATTAACGTTGTCGTAACTATTTCGTTTTAGTGTAAGTTTTTATAACACTCACGACTTCTTGGAATGAACTAATTAGTAGTTAGCATGATTGTAGAAACGACACACAAACGTCGGCCCTATTGTAATTATTTTGATCTTAATCGGTGGCTCGATCGCGTTGGACACCGTTTATTTCRWYCAAAGAATATTCCCTTTATCCTTWATCCGGAATCCCCCAACTCCCACCTGACTCTAAATGAATGAAATATTTTAMATCGTATACTGGCATTAACCGTAATATAGGCAAACGTAAATGGAAATTTGATTTCTGTACGTTCKTAAGTACCTAGGTAACGTCGTAACACGGTTAAAACAGGGACTATTTCAAAATGCGACCGTATAAAAATAATATTATGTATCGTTGCGGGACACGCAGACTGTACCCAGACTGTACTGCAATATGCAATATTGAATTATTATTTAAAAAAAAATACGTTTGCGACTAAAAATATTAAACTCAATATAAATAGGTTTGTAAAATTAAGTTCGATTTTCCTTTAGGTTTGTTGGAATATAGCCTTAGAAAAATAACAATCAGCCATGTGTCGTACTTTTCTGTTTTTTTCACGTTACTAAATGTTTTGAATATTGTGTAAGTTCGACACATCAGTTTAACGACACCTACAAAATAATAACAATACAAATATAACTGATTAGTAAACTTATGGCCGGGGGAGAGGGGGTGGGGGTTCACCTTCTCACCAACCATAGCTGTGGCAGGGAACACGACTGACTAGTAGTTTGAGACAACAAATTGATTAACAAAATATAAAATAACATTTTATAATGGGTAATACCTATTAATGATAAAATAATATTAATGTAGGTACATACAACTTATAAACAATAGGTAGGTACTTGAAACTAAGAAACGTATCTACATAAATCCAGGACGCAAACAATAAAAATACAAATGAAAGATGAAATAATAATGTCCAGGAAAACAATACTAGGTAATTAAAAACCTTGAATGAGCAAACTCCGTTTTTCTCGTTAAAAAATTGGGGATCACGGCGAAAACAAATTACATATACCTACACGTGACATGGCGTAGGTATATATATATATATATATAAACTGTTTCCAACGAAAATCCTTCAGCTACGACGGCTCTAGTGTGTCAGACTATGATTTCCTTCAGGCTAAGTATGTTTGTGTTTTTGTATTTTTCCTTGTCCACATTCAGCGACGGTTCGTTCTTCTTCGTCTGCGTGTGCCACACTAATATCTTTAAACAATAAACAAAATATGTCATTATGTATGAGTTGCATAAATACGATACATATAAAGTGCTGAAAGAAATTCAAAAGTTTGATACACAACAATAAATCAGATCGGAACATTTTGCTCAATAGTAAATTATGTACAAAAACCATAACAAATATTACACACTGCTGAACGTATATAGAACAAAACATTTCGGCGGCTGTTTTTCATTTCTGTATAATTCTATCGATTTTTCGATAGTTTTGTAAGAAAAAAAAATTATTAGATTTATTTTTGTTATTAATTTTACTACTGTATTGAGTTTTTCGTATTTTTCGTATTTCCTCCAATTGTTATTTTTACTATATTGTGTTTTTTGTATTATTAGAATATTAAGTAATACCTACTATCTTAGTTATTCATTAATTTATTTTTTCAAATGTTATTTATCAAATGTTTTACCATACCTATATTATGTACTAAATTACAATATTTATGTATCTAGTAGGGTTATTACCCGTAAATAAATAAATAATAATGATAAATAGGTAGTTATCTAAATAGTATACAGGGTGATTCTTTTATCAAACAACACTCATTATTTAAAAAAGTATTGACTTTTTTCAAAATATTTTTTTAAATAGTTTCAAGTA